ACTAGTTCCTTTCACATTTACACAGCTCTTAATGGAAAGAAGCCTTTCCTTTTCCTTATAGCAGCATTTCCTCTAGGTTCAAAGAGTGCTTCCTTGTCCTTCTCATTGTCAGTTAAGTGAATAACTAGAGATGTGTGTGCACAAAATTTGTTTCATTTTGTTTTCATTCGTTAAGTAAATCATGTCAATTCATTATGTTAGAATGATTCATTTCCAGAACAATTCATTATTTCTGGAGAGCTCTTGATGTAGAGAAGCCTTTCCTTCCAGGAAAGTTAAAGCTTTCTTCCTCCAGACGCAAAGAGTGTCTCCTTGTCATTTTCAGTGACACTAAAGTGAAAAAGTAGAGATGTGCACAACAGAAAATTTGTTTCATTTTTCTTTCATTTGTTAACCTCCTTGGCGGTATTCCCGAGTGTAGCTCGGGGTAACATTTCAGTACCAAAAGCGGTAACCCCGAGCTACACTCGGGCTTACCCTGCGGCACTGCTCCGGCAAGTGTTCTTCACTTACCTTACCCTGCGCTCCCACGATGTGTCCCCTGCAGCGTCCCCGGCCATCTCCTTCGGCCGATGCCGGCATCCGGCTTCTGTGTCCTGTCCCTGTGACGTCGGGACGTACGGGCGCCGCCGGCGGCGGGAAATGTAAAAATTTTAAAAAATGTCATTTTTTTTTTTTTTACATTTTACACAGTAAAACATTGCTGTTTCAACCAATTTCACATACATTTTGTCCCGAGTGCTTTGTCCGGCGCCCTGCCTGCATTTTGTCTGTTCTTTCTGCCTGGAAACTGAGAAACGTCCATGGCGTCCAAAAAGTGTCCCTTTAGGTCAAAAGCGGTTTAGATCAGCTAGAGAACAGCGATAGTAAATCAGAACCACTTGCAGAATTGAGTGATAATGATTCGTGGGGGAAATTCCTCATCAGACACTGAAAACGATTTTGCGACTGAGCTCAGCAATGTGCGAACTTGGCGCTATATTTCACATTTCAGTGTTTTTGGTTTGATTATATTATTGAATTAAATTTTTTATTATTTTTATATTATTTTTATGATTATTTATTAATTTATAATTTATGATTTTGTGTTTCAAATTTTATCATACCCGGGATGCTTACTAGACTCTTGTTCGGACAGATAGATTTCAGTGAGTTTTTCCTAAAAATTACAGCCTACAATAAAAAAAATACATATTTCCATGCAAAAAAATGGTACCGCTTTCAGCACCAAAAATCTGAAATAATCATACCGCCAGGGAGGTTAAGTAAATCATTTCAATTTGTTATGTTAGAATGATTCATTTTCAGAACAATTGATTATTTCAGGAGAGTATATATTTGTTGTTTTGAATCAGTTTGTAATTTTGGAAGCTCTGCTGTTCCTTTGTTATTTCAGAAGATTGTCTATAATTGTTATGTTGAATTAACCTCCCCATTCCCAACTGGCATTGTTTGTTGGTGCACATACAAATGTATTTATTTATTTCAAGCATTTATATATCTCCATCAATTTACGCAGCACTTTACATATATATTGTACATTCACATCAGTCCCCACCATCGAGGAGCGAACAATATAAGGTCCCTAACTCACATTCATACATACACATACTAGGGACAATTTAGACAGGAACCGCTTAACCTACCCGCATTTCTTTGGAGTGTGGGAGAAAACCCACACAGGCACAGGGAGAACATGAAAACTACAGGCAGGTGGTGCCATGGTTGGGATTTGAACCAACAACCCTAGTAATGCCAGGCCCAAGTGCTAACCATTTACCCACTGTGCTGCCCTAAATTAACCTCCCTAGAGGTATTCCCGAGTGTAGCTCGGGGTAGAGTTTCAGTACCAAAAGCGGTAACCCCCCCGAGCTACATTCGGGCTTACCATGCGGCGCTGCATAGGGATTCACTGCAGCTCTTACCTTGTCTTCGCTCCCGTGATGTCCCCCCTGCAGCGTCCCCGGCCATCTCCTTCGGCCGATGCCGGCATCCGGCTTCCGTGTTCCAGTCCCTGTGACGTCGGGACGTACGGGTGCCGGAACCGGCGGGAAATTTGAAAATTTTAAAAATTTTTAGTTTTTTTAAAACAAATTTTACATAGTAAAACATTGCTGTTTCAAACCATTTCACATACATTTTGTCCCGAGTGCTTTGTCCGGCGCCCTGCCTGCATTTTTACTGTTCTTTCTGCCTGGAAACTTAGAAAAGTCCATGGCGTCCAAAAAGCGTCCCTTTAGGTCAAAATCGGTTGTAGACCGGCTAGAGAACAGCGATAGTAAATCAGAACCACTTGCAGAATTGAGTGATAATGATTCGTGGGGGAAATTCCTCATCAGACACTGAAAACGATTCTGCAACTTTTCCATGCAAAATAATGGTACCGCTTTCAGCAACGGAAATAATCAGACCGCCAGGGGGGTTAAAGGAATGGTCTCTCAAGTTAAAACCCAATACAAAAAGAATCTTATAATATTCACGCTAAGCTCACTAGAATAAAAACTAATGGATCTGAATCAATTTGGATCATTTGTTATATCCTTACATTTTTTCGAATGCTTCAAACCTTACCAAAAAGCCTAAACTATCCCATCATGTCATCCAAATGAAATGAATGAATACATATTATTTGTTATTTTCATTATATGCTATTTCAGTTTAGTTTAAACTCGGAAATATTGTGATTCAGAGATTTGGATACATCCGAATCACTCAAATCACTCAAAGGTTGTATATTTGCCATGGCCATGATGCTTTGCTGTGGGGTGTGGCAAGAATTATACCCCCCCCAGTCTTGTCTGGTGGGCATTACTGCTAGCTGAACATGACCCATTCAAGTGAATTGGGCTTCATCACTACCGTCCTGCATTGCTGGCATGGTGATGTGAGCTTTTAGGGGTTAAAACAGGTGTTAAAGAGGGGGCAAAACACCCGCTAGCCACCTGTCAATGCCCTCTTTTTGCTTTATATAAACCCTTGCTTTGCAAAGTGACAGTCCCTCTCCTTTAGTAAATAAACCTCATCCATAAGATGTCAGGTAGCACCAACAACAAGGTTTGGTAGCCAGGGTCAGTCAACATGAAAACCTATACCATGTGATCAGCTGTATCCAACCACAGCATGTCAACAGTAAGCAAGCTGTCATCAATGGAAAGACATTCATGACAGTTAAAACTATACCTTATAACCATGATCATCACTGTTATAAGCAATAACAATGGGGAAAAAAATACCTTATCACCCCCCAGAGTAGTACAGTTATGTCACTATGGTGACAATGAACTACTCTGATGAAAGTGCATAAAAATAGTAATTAAAAAAATGTAAAAAAAAAGTTTAAAAAATTGTATAAAAAACATAAATAGCCATATAGTGATGCTGTACTGCACTGGTGACAGTAGGCAAAAGAAAAACAAATTGTGAAAAAAAAATCATTTATTGCTTCATTTTCCAAAAATATTTTACAAAAAAATACAACTTCAAAAAACTTACCGTGCCTCTTACTAAATACCTTGGACTGTCTACTTTCCAAAAAGAGTATATTTTGAGGGTATTTGTACTGTCATTTTTGGGCCTCAAGAAATTATATATATATACAGATGAAACTCAAAAAATTAGAATACTGTGCAAAATTTTATTTTATTTCAGTGCAGCAACTTAAAAGGTGAAACTAATATATGAGATAAACTCATTACATGAAAAGCAAAATAGTTCAAGCCGTGATTTGTCATCATTGTGATGATTATATACACCATATGTATACCATAGTTTGTAGACTCTATGACTTTCACACAGACTAAATAATATACACTGATTTAGGTAATATTTACAGAAGTGTAGCAGAATACATTTTGGCCTAAATTTATGAAGAAAGAATATTTGTTTAAAAATGTCTTTATTTTTATATTTATATATATATAAATATATATATATATATATATATATATATATATATTTATAAATAAAAAACCCAGTGGTGATGAAATACTTCAAAACAAAGCTCTATTTTTTGGGGGTAAAAAAAATGATATAAATTTGATTTGGGTACAGCGTTGCATGAGCAAGCTATTGCCAGTTAAAAAAGCACAGTGCTGAATAGCAAAAAAAATCATGGTAATGAAGGGGTAAAACCTTTTGGAGTGGTTAAATATAATTTGGAATATGATGTTGATTGATACCTAGATTTATTTGTTCTTCTTTTCCTAATTAATGCAGGAGGCCAACATAACTTTAGTAACAGAATTTATCCTCCTGGGATTTCAGAACACTAGAAGCATTAAGATGTTTCTCTTCTTCCTCCTTCTTGTGATCTACTGCCTTACAATCTGTAGAAACCTCCTGATCATTGTGTTGGTGTCCTACTGCAAGCACCTTCAAAGTCCCATGTACATCTTCCTCACCCAACTCTCTATGAATGATATCCTGTTAACTACAGACATTGTGCCCAACATGCTTCATACTTTGGTAAATAAACATGGAACAATCACGTTTATGGGCTGCATCACTCAGTTGTATTTTTTCAGTGCTTCAGAAACCTCAGAGTGTTTTCTTCTCATGATAATGTCCTACGACCGGTATTTGGCCATCTGTGATCCATTGCATTATGCTTCCATAATGAAAATTGCTTTCAGCCTAAAGTTAGCAGCGGTGTCTTGGATATTAAGTTTTTCTCTGATACTGATTGACATTTTAACCGTATCAAATTTACACTTTTGTGCATCAAATATCATTGACCATTTTTTCTGTGATCTTCCTCCGCTGCTTAAACTTTCCTGTTCAGAAACTTATGTTGTTCAGATAGAAGTTGTTATATTAAGTGGCCCTGTGATAGTCATTCCTTGCTTAGTTATTGTAGCATCCTATATTTACATTATTATCACCATAACAAGAATTCCATCTAACATAGATAGACAGAAGGCCTTCTCCACCTGCGTTTCCCATTTAACTGTGGTCTTCATCTTTTATGGAACTCTTTTCATTGTCTATACTCTGTCAACCGGGGGACAATCATCACATCTAGCTAAGACCCTATCCCTGTTGTACACAGTAGGGACCCCCTTGATGAACCCTATCATATATAGCCTGAGGAATAAGGACATCAAGAAAGCTTTAGAGAAACTTATCAGTACAAACATTTTTATGTTTTGACCGGTTTGTACTGGTCCAATGTGAATGAGTTTTTAAATTTAAAGCATTGTATCATTTGAGCAAAATCTTATTCTCTTTATCACATCAAGGCATTCCTGATACACAGAGGCTCAACGGAAAATTAACAGAATTCTACAATAAAGATGACAGTCAAAAAAAATCAATGTTATACATATTATGAGATTTAGCTTCAAATGCAGAGTTTTTGAGAACTCTGTCCTTTTAGCAATATTTGGTTTGGGGCTTTTTGTCCACTTTTATCCATCCAAAGGTCAAAGTAACAGAGTGGTTTGCCTGTGTGAGGGTTATTTAGCAGCCTCCTGGCCATTTGTCACACTACTCTGTTTATTCTTCTTTAACCCCTTCATGCCTAAGGGTAAAACAAATCTAAATGCCTGTGCACAATTTAGCAATTTTGACATGTGTTAGTAAAACATATAATCACAACTACTTTGTACATCCAGATGGATTATACCGAGTTTTTTTCAGGACAAATTGGACTTTCATTTGGTGGTAAATGATAATAAATATCTCTTGATTTTTTTTTATTATCAAAATAGTAAAAAAAAATATTTTTTTTTATTTAGCTGTGTGTTCCTTGTTACTACCATAACCTACCACCAAAGAACAACCCAAAATAAATTCTCCAGCTCTTGACGATCGCAGCGATACCATATATGTGTATGTTATTTGTTGTTTGTAACCCTAGTAAAGCCCAGAAGCAATACTGCACTTTTTTTTTTTACCTAAAACACACTGACACTGGCATTTACACTAACTGACACTGATACCAATTTTTTTTAAAAACCCTGACCTTTGACCTTGACGTTTGACCCTGGCCTTGACCAAATTCCTAACCCTGGCACTGAACTAGATCAAACCTTGATCTAGGTATTTTTTCTTTATTTTTTCTTTTATTTTTTAATATTTATTTATTTATCTTTTTTTTTTTTTACAAACATTTTTTTTCCTCTATGCCAGGAGTTAGAGAGATGCAATGTATCTCTCTCTCTCCTCCATTCATAGAGATAGAAAAAAACAAGGGGGCCGGGCTGTACAGAGACTGATCACTGTGATAGCCGATCAGAGGCTATCACAGCGATCATATGACCTGGAATCGGGAGCCCCGGGTCCCGATCATTAGGACGGGACCTGGTGTTCTCAGTGACACCACGGTCTTTGTGCTGGGAGCGCGCCGTGCGGCGCACTCCCAGCATAAAGACAGTTATGCAAATATGTGGCCCCGCGGAAAAAAGCCCAGTTCTTCGAGGTTGTATATTTGTGTTACCTCGGCATCAAGGGGTTAAGGCAAAGCTTACTCAGCATTGGCCTCTCTACTATATCAGTTCCATAAGCAGGGGCGGATGACAACTCATGGTGCCCCCAGGTGACAGGAGACCATGGAACCCCCATATTTAAAGAAGTCCTCCATGCAGCAGCCACCTTTATGATGCAACATTAATGCAGCAGGCCCGTGTGGAGGGGCACCAAGCTCCATGACATGCAGAGTGGAAGGAGACTTAAAGCTGGTACCAGGATCCTTTCATGGACAGGTCCAGCTTACCAGCATCCTGGGAAATGTTAACCTGCGGTACAGTGAGTGTGGTTATATTATCCCACATATTGGCCACAGCTTTTTAGTCTGATTAGACATTTTTATTTTTTAATTATTTTTTTATTTTAGGTTTTACTTAATACTAATGTAATAATTGTTTACATTTTTTTTTACAATGCTGTTGGGGGAGGTGCTTTGATTAGATATCTTGGAGACGGAGAAAGGTTCTGAGAACAGAGAATCTCCAATTCCTTTCTCTGTACGCTCAGCTGCACTGCAGAGGAGGAGAGAGGCTCCTGTTCATTCATTAACAGAGTTTACTATGCTTCAGTTATGTATGGATTCAGGGGTGATCAGTACAAATTTCTCACTGTGTTCTTTCAGAAAAGAAAGGGGACAGTAAATTACATATTTACCCACCACTTCCATAGCTCTCCAACATGACACATCCAACAGTGCTTGTGGGAGGGAGGGCCAGACACACTAGGGGCCACACAGGGGGAGTCAGATGTGGCTAGGACAGGAAGTAGAATTGGTGGGTGGGGCAGGGGGGCAATTACAGAATGATGCTCTGTGTCTGTGTCTCCCCCTGCAGCAGCTGAAATCCAGCAGGAGGAAGATAAACTGGCTTTCACCTGCTGCAGAGAGTCAGACAGGGCTTCTTTAATTGTCCCCACCCTACCTCAATAAACTCACTCCCAAGTCATTACTTGAGCCCATTTGGCCTATATTCAGTAGTGAACAACAAATACAGGGACCCCCCAGGGAAGGACATTCAACCTAATCAAGAAATCCGAGTGTATTTGGTAAAGGAGAGGACCAAATGAAAACATACTAAGGAGTCAAAAGTCTTTATTTTATTTATATTTCAAGTACTTATATATCGCTGTCAATTTACCTAGCACTTTACATATATATTTTACATTCACATCAGTCCCTAACCTTCAAGGGGCGTACAATCTAAGGTCCCTAACTTACATTCATACACATAGTATGAACAATTTAGACAGGATCCAGTTAACCTACTGACATGTCTTTGCAGTGTTGGAGGAAACTGGAGTACCCGTAGGAAACCCATGCAGGCACAGGGAGAACATGCAAAATCCAGGCAGGAGATACTGTGGTTGGGATTTGAACCAACGACCCTAGTACTACCAGGTGGAAGTGCTAACCATTTAGCCACTGTGCTGCCCTGTTTATTTGTCAATTTACCGATCTTGTCTCCAAATACCACCCAAACTGTACTCTCCGCTCCTCGCAAGACCTCCTACTCTCTAGCTCCCTTGTCTCCTCCTCCCATGCTTGTCTCCAGGACTTCTCCAGAGCTTACCCCATCCTCTGGAACTCTCTAACCCAATTTATCAGACTATCACCTACTCTGCTCACTTTTAGGCGATCTCTAAAAACCTATCTCTTCAGGGAAGCCTTTCCTGCCCTCAGCTAATAATGGAATCTTCTACTCTTCCAACTAGTTCATCCCCCACAGTTACTACATTTTGTACCACTAGCCCCTCCCTCCTAGATTGTAAGCTCCAAGGAGTGGAGGATATTCCAACCTTTATTTCCCTCATTGGAATGTACCAATACATAGTTCATACACTATCCTATCAGCTTTGTAATTGGTCTTTATAGAGTTAATGATGTGAATACTGTATTTATCTTTTTCATTATCAGGTGAACCAAACTGGGATCTCATCCCTACCTATGACTGATATCTGTTTTCCTCTGTATTTTGCATTCAACCAAGTATTTTTGTGTGGAATTACACTTCCCCTACTGACCTTTGAGCTGCTCTGTTTCTTTCATTTTTGTGGTTTTCTCATGTCAGCTTCAGTTTTGTAGGCCAATCATTATTGACATTTTTTTCCCTGATGTGTCCATGGTTCAAATGGAATGGAATGCACTGTATACTAACTCCTCCTCCTCCTCCTCTGTCCTGATTTGGAACAAAGCCCCTCTGTCCCTCTTTGAGTTTTCATTTACTTATGATGCTCTTTTTGATGGATGCTATGAATGATGGGTGCTATGTACTCCTACTCATTCACATAGAGGGAGCTGGGATCTGGGAGGCTTCCAGATCCCAATAACCCCCCCACCTGCAGACTCCCATAACCACCACTCAGGGTTGTGGGGAAGAAGGGCTTGTCCCCATCAACATGGGGATGAGGTGCTTTGGGGGGGAGCCCCATCCTCCATATCTCTGCTAGTCCAACCTTCAGCAGTCCAATCTCTGTACCTTTTTCAGAATATCAGTCTGTCCCTGATGTTTTTCCACGAGAGCAGAGGCTTCTTTGTTGTCCTTCTTGACACCAGGCCATCCTCTAAAAGTCTTTGCATGGTGGTGCCCTGATCCCGCAGCTGAATCAACTTTAGGAGACAGTCCTGGTGCTTTCTAAACTTTCTTGGGTGCCCTGAAGCAACAATTGAACCTCTCTCCTTGAAGTTCTTGATGATATAATAACTGGTAGTAGCAATATACTTGCCTGTGAATCTCTTTTCGTGCAAAGCAATGATGACTGCATTAAGTAAATTAATATTTGTGTCTGTGATACATATGTGACATAGGTGTATAGAATGTATGTGTGAAGGATGATTGACACTCAATTGCCAGAATTTTAGTGGGATATATCAATGGAGAAGTAACTAGAGTTTAGAATAACAAGACAAGGACATTGTTAAAATCTATCAAGCCTAGATCTATGATTCATAGTTACAAGATTTTCAGTCTCAATCAGTCAAGGACTCATAGTTACAAGATGTATAGTCGGAACAAGTCAAGGCTAATAGTCACAATAGTTACACAAACAGAGTCTACTGCGCATGGCAGTAGACAAGGACACTGCAAATTATGTATATAAAATAAGGGGGGGTTCTAGGGGAATTCGGGACTCATTGAAGATGTGGCAGACGTGCCTTGCGGTGATTTCCCGGATTTCCCCTTTGCTGATTGCTGGAGTCCCCCAATCGTTGGGCAACGGATGATGCTACAATATCTGGTGATGTATTGATGCTTTATTCTTGCCATAATATGATCTAAATATGATTTTCAATTCTGACAATTCTTATGTAATTATACTAACAGAACTTATTCAATAAATCATGTTTTGCTTTTATTTATTAAGCATAATCCGTGTATTAGTGAGCGATTGTAGCAGTGTTAAAAACACTTTGTTTTGTGGCAAAACAGTGTCATTCTCAAAACTTTTGACCAGGGATGTATATCCTTCTTGCAAATTCTCCTGGACCCAATGGCCTGCGACTCTTTCTGTCCAAACCCTCTAAAAAGTGGCTACTATAACTCCCACCAGGAGGGACTGGATGAACATCCTGTCAAAAGGACTTTTTAGGGTTTTTTTTTGGCCATCTGTTCTGTCTTGATTTTACACTTTCTATGAAGGAGCTCTGAATTCCCTTCCATTGTGCTCTGGTCTTTAAGATATATGGC